TGTTGTGTTAGGTGCTATTCAATCACCTATGACTCTCAGAGATGCTGTGAACAATGGCGCTGAACCTCGCCCTGTCCTGTGTAATCCTCATTATCTCTGATATACTTGGGCCCATTTTTGCTAATGAAAAACATACCATTTCTTTTAAAACATATATTATTGACCCTTGTCTAGAAGCAAAACTGATACGTAAATGCACTGTACTAATGATGATTGTTGTTATGTGCTGTCAGGTCAGCTCCAACTCATACGCACAATACTTCTGAATCCTGCTCTATTCTCAGCTAATTTCACTGCCTCTGACACACCTGCCCTCATTACCCCAGTTACAATGTCAATCCATCTCATCCTGGGTCTTAATGAAGCATGTTAAATTGGCCAAAAGTTTCAGAACACTAACAACTCCAAAACATGTGTGGTTAGGAGTGAGAAAACTATAGTTCTCTTTGCTTTCCATTCAGGTTGTGGTCACAGGGCTCTGTGGTACAGAGATGAAAATGATAACCAGTCATCACATTTTCCCCAGTATTTTGGGCCATGAAGGAGCTGGAATAGTTGAGAGTGTGGGAGAAGGAGTAAGCACAGTGAAAACAGGTAAGAATTGAGACCTCGGGCCTGGAAATAGGCATACCTTAGAATTTATATGATAATTAAAAAAGGCATTCATTGCATACATTGAAGTCAAGTGAAACACAAGATGAAACACTTCCTAGAAAAAGAAAAGAAAATATTCACTACCTCAAAACACAAAATGTACTATATTTTTTGCATCCATATTTTAAAAAGAAAATAACAAGATTAATCTGAATGCATTGAAACTAGTTCTGAAAGTAAGCACAAACCAGACAAAAACTTACAAAAAAGAAGTTGAAAACTGTTGAACAATCATGTAAAAGAAGTATATGATAAATAGTCAAACACATGGTGCTAAGTTGGAATGGAGTTCAGAATTGAATCCAAATATAGAGAGAGAAATTAAATGCAGAATTAGATTTGCTTTTCATATTTGAGGCAAAAACGATGAAAGTTAAGCAAGTGTTCAAGTCTTTCATTCATAGTGCTATGAGTTGTCTACTACTAGATGGCACTTAACAACAACAACATATGTACGGTGTTAGAACAATTACGTAATCATTTGCAGTGAGGAGGGGAGAAGTAGTGGAGTTGCTCTCCAAATGCAAAAAAATATTGTATGTGAACACAAAATTTAATGAATAATGGAATCATGAAAAAGATATTGTTAGACAACACAAAAGAAAGTTATTATCTCAGAATAGGAAGAGATTTAAAACAATACAAATAAATCCAGAATATACAAAATAGTATACTGACAAACAGAGTCACCGTATCAGCAGGAATTGGCTGACATAGAAGAATTTCATGAAGTAACATATGAGCAAGAGCCTATGGTGATGAAGGAGGAAGTTCAAATTGCTCTGAAGGAATTAGTAAAAAACAAGGCTCCAGGAGTTGACAGCATACCAATTGACATATTTCAACAGACACTGCCCTGGAGATGCTCACTAAGTTGTGCCAAGAAATCTGGAGGTCAGCCAGCTGGCCAATTGACTGGAAAAGATCGATATTTGTTCCCATTACAAAGAAAGGTGACCCAACAGAGTGCAGAAATTATCGAACAATATCATTAATATCACATGAAAGCAAGATCCTGCTGAAAATTATCCAAAAACGTTTGAACAATATGTCAACAGAGAACTGTCAGATGTGCAGGTTGGATTTAGAAGAGGCCATGACACTAGGGATATTATAGCTAATGTTAGATAAATCTTGGCAGAAAACAAAGAATATCAGAAAAATGTCTCTCTGTGCTGCATTGACTATGCAGAGGCTTTTGACTGTGTGGATTACAAGATGTGACTGACTGGAGAATCCCAGAATATTTGATTGTGCTAATGCAAAACGTTTTGGACCAAGAGGCAGTTGTCAGAACAGAGCAAGGAGACACCATGTTAAAAAAAAAAAAAAAGGAGACACCATGTGGTTCAAAGTCAAAAAGGGGGTCCGTCAGGGATGTATTCTGCCTCTATAACTTTTCAATCTGTATGCAGAACAGATCATCTGAGATGCTGGGCTGTATGAGGAGGAATGTGGCATCACGATTGGTAGAAGAGTCATCAACAACCAGCGTTACGCAGATGGCACAGCCCTGCTTGCTGAAACTGAGGAGGACCTGAAGTGCTTGTTGCAAGGTCAAGGACAGCAGCCTTCTATATGGATTGAAACTCAACATCAAGAAAACAAAGATTCTCACCACTGGGCCAATTGGCAGCATCAATATGGATGGTGAAGAGATTGAGATAGTTAAGAATTTTAGTTTACTTGGTTCCACAGTCAACACCCTTGGTAACAGCAGCCAGGAAACCAGGAGAAGAATTGCATTGGGAAAGGCAGCTGTGAAGGACCTCTCAAGAGTACTGAAGAGCAATAACGTCAGGCTGGAGACTAAGGTGTACCTGATCCAGGCAATTACATACTATGCTTCAGAGAGTTGGACAGTGATAGAAAGAGAATTGATACCTTTGAGCTGTGGTACTCCAGAAGAGTGTTGATTATACATGGACTGCTAGGAGAACAAAAGATTTGTTCTGGAGAAGGTGAAGCCAGAATGCTCCTTGGAGTCAAGGATTCTGAAGCTTGTTTGACATACTTTGGGGTTGTTGCAAGGAGGGATTAGTCCTTGGAGAGGGACATAATGTTTGGCAGAGTGGAGGGGCTGCACAGGAGAGGAAGACCTTCAATGAGATGGATCAATTCTGTGACTGTAGTGGTGGGAATGAGTACATTTGAGATGGAGAGGTTGGCACAGGGTAGAACGGTGTTTAGGGCTCTTGTACATAGGGTCGCTATGAGTTGCAAGAGACTTGACTCAATGGCACGTAACAACAACAAGAAAAAACAAAATAACTTTAAGTGCATATGTGAAAATACACAAAAGTCAAGAAACAACAACAAACTGGAAAACTATTAAGTCTTTTCAGTTGTTACAATAATGAGCTAATCTACATATGACACCCATAAAACCTAATCTGCTAGGAACAAGTCAAGTTCCACTCACTATAACCTTTGGAAGGAGATTGCATACCTCTCTCGCTCTCTCTCTGAAGTGGTAGATATGAACCAATAACCTTTCAATTAATAGTGAAACATGTAGCACACCATACTTCTACAGCTCCTTAACGCATACACCAAAACTCAAAAAACCGAGTGCCACCAAGTCAATTCTGATTTATGGCAATCTTCCACTGGGTTTCTGAGATTCTAGATCTTTACAGAAGGAGACTATCCATCTTCTCCTTTGGAGTAAATGGTGGATCCAAACTGTTGACTGATAGATTAGATAGGTATGTGACCAACACACACTTCACCACTCTGCTCTTTAAAAAGCAATAATCATGGTGATTGGTTTTATAAAACAGGTTGTATGGGGATGATCATATGAAACACAATGTGAACAAAGGAGTGGGTGAAACACAATGTATATGAGTGGAATTCAATATATATGAACTTTGTATACAAACCAATATAAGGTTTTTTTAAGTTATATAAAACAAACCAATAATAATAATGCGGCTAACAAATCTAAGCAGTTGTTATTTAGTTAACTCCAAATTGATTCCCATGAAGGTCACAGGGTTTTCAATGGCTGATTGTAATTTGGAAAGTAGATTGTTCCACCTTTTCCCAGGAGTTTCTACATAGACTCCAACCAACCTTTCCGCTGGTAGCTTGAGGAAAAATAGTTTGTGTCACATGAAGACTCAAAAAATAAATAAAAGGTAGCTTGGGGATTAATAGTTTATGTCAATCAAAGATTCCAAAATGTAATAAAGTACATACACTATTTTGTAGAAAATAGGCAAAGGAAATAAACATCTATTTGGAGGAAAAATAGAAATATATTTCAACATATGAAAATATGTTAAAACTCAGACATTTAAAATAAGTAAACACAATTTCTAGTACAACAGAAAAATAATTTTATCTGTAAAAGTATTCCAAAAACATTGTCTATTAGTTTTCTATTTTTGCGATAAGAAGTTACCACAAATTTAGCAGTTTAAAATGTCATAAAATTACTTTCTCAGCTTCAGTAGTTTAGTAATCTGGATAGACTTACCTAGGTTACTTGCTTAGGGTTCCATAACCCAAAGTCTCGGTTCCTTATCTGTATGTCTTCAGAAAGAATCTATTTATTCAATTTCACATATATTTTTTAAATAAATTCATAAGGCATTATTGTGCTCTCCTAGGTGACAAAGTCATCATGCTCTTTCTGCCACAGTGTAGAGAATGTGACGCTTGCCTGAATCCTAAGGGCAATTTTTGCATAAAATTCAAGTAAGTCTTAGCTGTTTTCTTTTGGAAAAAATTAATTTCATTGAAAAACATCAAAGTTTTCTAATTAAAAAGAATTTTTTTGTGTTTGTTTTGTTTGTTTATTTTTCTGTAAGAGAATCATACACTGGCCGGATGTCGGATGGCACCGTTAGGTTTACCTGCAGGGGAATACCAATATATCACTTTGGTAATACGAGCACTTTCTCTGAATACACAGTGATAAACGAAAATTCCCTTGCCAAGATTGATGCAGGTGCACCTCTTGAGAAAGTATGCTTAATGAGCTGTGGTTTTTCTACTGGATATGGTGCTGCAATCAACACTGCTAAGGTAAAGTAAATTTATATCTATCATGAATAGAATCCTTGAGATATGGAGTTGAAGGTCTTCACGCCTCTGGGTCATGTGTGATCATAAAGCATGAACAAGAATCACAAGTCTGCCTCTACACCTTGATGAATATCTTCCTTTGCTTCTTTCAATGTCTTTCTTTACTGAGATAAATTGTAAATCCATCCTCAACGCTCTATGCCATTCACAAAGAAAGGCAAATGGAATCCCTGGGAATTAAGAATAACATTTACAATGTCAGTGACTGTATGTTTTTTTTCACAATCCAATGCATTCTTTCTTTCATTCAATAACATTCCAGGCAATGTTGCAGTTTCTGGGACTCAGCAGTTAGCAAAAGGAAATGTATTACAAAACAGGGGCTGTCTAGAAATAAAGGTCAATAGACAGAGGTAAAGGGTAAAGAATCCAAGATCCCAAAAGGAGAGTTGCTATATTAAATACATTGGTCAAGGAAACCCACAAGAGTTGATTGGGCTACTGTCAAATTTCTACATCTAAATATTTTTACTGACTTTGCTTTTTCCATTGTCTACTATATAGAATAGTGGTGGCTTATGATAAAGAGTTGTGCTGCCAACTGCTACATGGGAGAAAGATAATCTCCACCTTTGATATTTACAGCTTCTGAAAACCTACAGAAGGTTCAGCTGAGTGAATTCTAACCCAGCAGAACATGACAATCACAATGATATTACAGAAAAGCTCAATTTAATTCAATGTTGGACTACATTATATGTCATTGATTGCCTTGATAAGGCAGTGACATTGTAAGTAATAAAAAGTTTGTTGGTTTTAGATGCCATCAAGTTGAGTACAACTCTTAGTAACCCTCTGAACAGACCTGAATCCTGTCCTATCCTGTGCCATCCTTACCATCTCTGATACTCTTGAACCCTTTGCTCCAATCACTGTATGCATCTATCTCCTTGGAGGTCTTCCTCTCTTTTGCTGATGTTCCACCTTTCCAAGCATGACATCCCTTTACAAGGAATAGTCTCTCTGAGCAACATGTAAGAGGTAGGAGAGAGGAAACTTTGCCATCTTTGCCTCCACGGAGCATTCTGGCTGAACATTTTCCAAGACATTATAGATTCATTCTTCTGGCAGTACTATTCTCCAACAACACAATTCAAAGGAATCAATTCTTCCTCTGTCTTCTTTGTTCATTGTCCAGCTCTCAGATGCATAGTAAGTGACTGAAAAGACCATGGCCAGTATCTGGCACAACTTAGTCTTCAAACTGACATCCTTGCTCTTCAGTGTTTTTGAGGAGTTTCTGTCAGTAACTTTGCCTAAAGCAATGTCTCCTTATCTCCTGACAGCTGGTACTGTCATAAAAAGTTTACAGAAAGAAATGGTTGGAGAATGGTAGAGAAAGTTTAAAGGGATTTAAAAGTAACTGAAGTTAAAGCAATATTTTGTCAATTAAGTCTTAATGTTCAATTACTGTTGATTAAATTACTGCCATTCCCATTATTTCTTGGGACCCTGAAACCATCTGAGGTAGCTTTTTGCTTCTCTGGTCCATATCTGGAAACATCTTGAGAAACTGAAAATCTCTACTCAGGAAGCATTTTCTTTTTAAATGTTGTTTGTTTATGTTTCAAATAAAGGATGCCCTTGGTCTTCCTAACTAAATAAATGCACATTTTAAGATCAGTGCTTTCATTTTCTGTGCTCTCTATCTTTACATGCACAGGTAACCGCAGGTTCCACGTGTGTCGTGTTTGGCCTTGGAGGAGTCGGTCTGTCTGTCATCATGGGCTGTAAGGCAGCAGGGGCAGCCAGGATCATCGGAGTTGACATCAACAAAGACAAATTTGAAAAAGCAAAGGAAATAGGTGCCACTCAGTGCATCAACCCACAGGACTTCAATAAGCCTGTCCATGAAGTTTTAGTTGAGATGATTGGCACCGGTGCAGATTTTTGTTTTGAGGTCATTGGAAATCCAGAAATAGCGGTATGTATTCCTCTAAAATGAAAATCACCAGTATCTCTAAGAGTGACCATTTTAGATTGTAATGTACGAAAATTCTTAAACTCTCTACACATTTCTCCAACTTTTCTTGTGCTCTGCTTGCATTCCAGCTGGTACCCTTTGTCTGATCAAATAAATTGGTTACAGTCCTAGACAAAGAATCTAGAATTTCCGTGCCAGGTTTCCCTCTCTGTGTTCTACCATACTAGTTCACCACGAGCAGTTACACTCCAGAAGGCATAGACAGTAAAACTTCGTCTTACTGTCATAAGGAACTCGCTAAATTATTTCATAACAAGATACACTTTGCTAACTATAATTTCTGAACCAAGACGTTTTAACTTGAAAAGGTAAAAATGAATACAAGACCCTGTCAAATTAGTAAACTTTGCACTTTCAACAATGTCGTTAGTGTTAGAGTTGAGATAATCTTCCATGAATATTATCTCTTAATCTTGATTAAATGGCTCATTTAAAAATAAAAGGATTTGAAATTGTTGAAGCAATTGGCTTTTACCCAAGGAGAACATGGTTTATATAAAAGTATATGAATTAAGAGGAAGTTATTTTTAACATCTGATATTTGTTTTCTTTAGTAATTTGAAAAAATAATGTATTATTGGGTTACATGATTAAGGCTTCTAATAAGTTGATAGGAAATTAAGGAACTATTCCAAGAGAGATTTTTTTCAGCATATAAAATATTTTCATTCCTCAGTGTATCTGAGTTCCCTGGTCTGTAAAAAGAACATAGAAAAATCTTTTACACTGTCTTGCTCTTATAACCAGATTTGAAAAATAACAAGTGGAAACATGACTGTCTGTTCTTGTCACTTGCTAAAATTTGTTTTTTAAAAAAAGCCTCATTGCTATTGAGTTAGAACTGACTCATAGCTAACATCAAACTCCTTTGGGAAGCTGTAAATTGCAGAAGAGGAGACTGCCCATCTTTCTCTCTCATTCATTGCTGGATGTGAACTGCAAAGTGATACAGCCTTTGAACTAGCAGCATAAGTCTCTACTTTATAAATATCAAACTGCTTTATAAATATCAAACTTTAATGTCTTAATTAAAAATAGTCAGCAATAACCAACCACTTTCAAAATTAATGGCCTTAGGGAAAGTTATTATCATCACTATGCTGTTTGGTGCCATCAAGTTGGCTCTGACTCATAGCAACCCTATGTTCAGACAACACAATGAAACTCTGCCTGAACTTGTGCCATCCTCACAATCCAGTAGTTACTGTGCCAATTCATCGTACTGAAAGTCTTCCTTTTTTCTCTGACTCTGCCTCTCTACTTTTGAAAAAAATGATATCCTTCCTCAAGGGTTGGCTCCTCCCGCCATCATGCCCAAAGTATATGAAACAAAATATCTCCGTCCTCACCCCCATGTTGTTGCTATTGTAGGGTGTGATTGAGTCGAGTATGGCCCATAGTGATTCTATGAACAACAGATCTGAACCCTGCCCTATCCTGTACCATAGTCACAATTTCTGACACACTTGAGCCCATTGTAGCAGTCACTGAATCAATCTACCTCTTTGAGAGTCTTCTTCTCCTTTGCTGTTCCTCCACCCTTCCAAGCATGACGTCCCACTCCAAGGAACAGCCTTTCCTAGTAACATGCCTAAAGTGTGTGAGACAGAGCTTTGCCATCTTTGCCTCCAAGGAGCGAGCACTTTGGCTGCACTTTGTCCAGGACATATCTGTTTGCTCTTTTGACAGCCCATGGGATATTCAGTACTCTTCTCCCACACATTCAAAGACTTAAATTCTTCTGCCATCATCTTTATTCATTGTCCAGTTCTCAGATACATAGCAAGTAATTGAAAAAATCCTGCCTAAATCAGGTACATTTTTGTCCTCAAACCGACAGCATTGCTCTTCAATAATTTGGAGAAGTCCCTGTCCAGCAGTCAGGAAATAAGTAGACATAGCGCACTGGGAAAGTCTGCAGTCAGAGACCTGTATTTACCCTTATATAGTTGTAGTTGTTATTAAGTGTCATCGAGTCATAGGTGACTCATAGTGACCCTATGAACGGAAGATTTGAACACTAGTATAACTTTCATCATTTCTGCAGGTGAGGCCAAGCATTTCAGCATTTAAAAATTCCAGCACACCCACATGCTGGTGGACTATTAGAAAGAGACCCCAAGTTCACCTGGCAAGTCCCATCTGCTGACACCCACTTGGGATGAAAAGAAAACCATAAGAGCCCAAGTGTTCCATACGTGTCCCTCCTCAAGATGCAAGAGGCCATGGCAACTTCCAGCATAAAACCCCTTACCCCTATAGGTGCTGTTATTTTTACAGATACTATTCCTTTCATATTTTGTTACATTTGTTTCTTGAGGATCCCTAACATATGATAACAACTACTAACAAAAAGACCAGTGGTTCTAACCTACCATCTACTCCTCAGAAGAATAATGTGGCAATTTGCTTCCATAAGAATTTACAGCCTTGGAAACCTGATGGTTTCTAAGTTCAATAGTCTTCTAGGGTCACTATAAGGCAGAAATGGCTCTTCAACAAATAATAATGACAGGCAACATAGCAGGCAAAGTCTTAACTGTTTTACAGCACCTTTATAAAGCAAATGTTGTTCCAAATGTGGATGGGGGTGGGAAGGAAAAAAACAGTCACATATCATACAGTAGTGAAGTTCTGATTGAAAGTTAGGTCCAACTTCTAAGTACATCTTTTAACCATTGTATTGCCTTGTAACAGGTAACTGCCTTTATGTCCTGCCATGAGAGTCATGGTGTCTGTGTCATTGTGGGGTTGTTGGCTGCCGATATCCAGCTCAGCAACCAGTTGTTCTTCTCTGGACGTTCCTTGAAGGGATCTGTTTTTGGAGGTATGGATGAAGCAGGGATAGATGGGAATGCACAAGGGTATGAAGGTAGGATACAGGAAGAGGTGTATCATAAATGTTAAGAAGGGACTGAAAGCAATAATATTAGACATTTTGGTTGCTGTATTAGTCGTCCAGTGCTGCTATGCTAGAAACACCACAAGTAGATGGCAAACAGAAATTTCTCTTCTCACAATTTAGAAGTCTACATTTAGAGCACAGGCTTTAGGGGAAGGCATTCTGTCTTTCTTGGGGGTCTCTGTGAGTGAGGATCTTATCTCTTTTCTTTGTCTCCTTAGTGATCTTGTGACATGGCCTCTATCTTCCTCGTCTCTGCCTTCTGACAAAATCTTGAGTGACCAACAAAGCATCAAAATAATATGCAAAGAATACAAAGAATATCTTAACCTTTTTGGTGGTGTTTTTACATGCCGTCAAGTCAAACTGTAACTCATAGTGACCCTACGCACAATAGCTGTGAACCCTGCCCTGTCCTGAACCAGTCTCACTGTCTCTGACACATCTACCCCTATTAACCCAGTAACCGTGTCAATCCATCTCATCCTGGGTCTTCCTCTCTTGCTCTGTCCCTCCACCCTTTCAAGCATGATGTCCTTCTCCAAGGACGATTGGACCCTACTAACAACATGCCCAGAGTATATCATACAGAGCTTCAAAATACTTGCCTCCAACGAGCAATTTGGTTTCACCCTTTCCAGGACAGATCTGCTTGTCCTTTTGGCAGTCCATGGTATATTCAATACTCTTCTCCAGCACCACAACTCAAAGGCATTGATTCTTCTTTTGCCATTCTTATTTATTTATCCAGCTTTCTGATGCATAGCAATTAACTGCAAACCATGGCCTGGATCATCTAAACATACAGAACACAAAAATTCTTACAATTGAACTAATAAGCACCATCATAGGAAATGGAGAAAATATTATTTCATTTTACTTTCACAATCAAGACCTATGGAAAAAAACATCATAGGAAATGGAGAAAATATTATTTCATTTTACTTTCACAATCAAGACCTATGGAAAAAAAATCATAGGAAATGGAGAAAATATTATTTCATTTTACTTTCACAATCAAGACCTATGGGAAAAAACAGTCAAGAAATCAAGACATACTAACATCAGATAAGTTTGCTTTCAGAGACTTCTTAATAAGCAAGGATGTCAGTTTAAAGACTAAGATACACCTTCCTCAAATTTTAGTAGTTCATATACTTCATAGGCCTGTGAAAGTTGGACAATGAATAAGGAAGACTGAGAAAGAATTGTTATCTTTCAATTATGGTGTAGCAAAGAATAACTTTGCTACTCACTGCAATGCTAGGTATGTGGTTAGATCAGGTATTCTGATGACTGACTCAAATAAATGGAATACTTTTTTATTTCCTTTGGAAGCCAACACACCAATAACAACTCTGAATGCCTTTTCTATGTGACGTCTTGTGTATAAAATCTGTCATTATTCTATATTTCCAGGATGGAAGAGCAGAGATCATATTCCCAAACTAGTTTCTGATTATATGGCAAAGAAGATTAATCTAGATCCTCTAATTAGCCATACTATGGCTTTTTCTAAAATCAATGAAGCAGTTGAATTAATGAAATCCGGGAAATGGTATGTGTCTCACATTTTTATGTCTATGTGTTTGGAATCAAGAGAAAGAATGTGTGGGTGTGGCAGATGTGGGGGAATCATGTGACAAATGAAGGTTTCAGAAAGTTTTTAAAGCATATCCTCTTATTTTATTTTATGCCAAGCTCTTAAACTATACAGTCCTGAGGAGGGTAAAGAGTTGATCTCTCCTTACTATTAATGTCTGTAAGCTCTGGTGGCCAAGTGGGTAAGGAGTCATGCAGCCAATTCAAAGGCAGGGAGTTTGTATCTATTAGGTATTCCTTGGGAGAAAGATGAGCAATCCTCCTCCCAACTTCATGTGATTTACAGCCTCCAAAAATCCACTGGAGGATTAGCTATGAGTCATTTACAACCTCATGGCTTACACACATGCATAAACGGTTTCTTTTCACTTTGGATTTTTTTTTTAAGGTAAAAGAGTTTTATTAGCTTTTTTTTTAACAGAAGCATGAGAAAAACCACATTAAGATGTAGCATTCTTTTTTAAAATAAAACTGCAATTAATACTTGAGTCGCCAAGCTCCAAATCCATAAACAGAGTTGAGGGTTTTTGAGGTGGTAGATTTCAATATTTTAAATATCAGTATTTATCACTTAAGCATCAGTCCTTTAAAATGATAGAACTTGCAGTACTTAGCATAATGTGAAGTTTCATTATGAAAGTGTCTCTGGCCAATAAATGCTGTGTATACTGGCAAAATTACAGAGGTGAGAATATATTTACCTTCTAAATATTTCAAATTTAGGTGACAATGTTACCAATCTCCTAAAATTACTTATTTCTTTATCTTTTAAAACCTGACGTTTGAATACTTAAAATTTTTGCAAGTTCTCTCTTTAAATAATAGTATTCTAAATAAGGTTTTAAAAAAGGATATAAGTTGTTTCATTTCATCTTATATTAGGATCCAATTTTTTTTCCAACTACGATATTTTT